CTTGTTCCTTCGTGAGAAGTCTTGGAGTGCGGTATCTCCGAGCAAAGGTGTTGAGGCTCGTGTGACTCGGGTTCTCAAGTTGTATCGGTTTGTTAAGCACCCTTAAGCTTAACGGAGTTAGTGTAGCTCGAGAGAGTCTCTCGGGGGGCTGGATTAGCCACACGTTGTGGTGAACCAGGATAAAATCCAGTGTGTTCCTTCCTTACGCTCTTTACTTTAACGCTCTCGTTTTAATTTCCTGCGATTTTGTTTTAAACGCTATTCACCCCCCCTCTAGCGTTGGGCCTTTATTCTAACAATTGGTATCGGAGCCATACTCTCTGAAAGACTTAACCGTTTGAGAGAAACGATCAATGGCTTCTACTCAAAACTTATACGCAGGTTTAGGAGAAGGGAAATCCACCACGAGGCCTCCATTATTTGATGGAACGAATTACACATATTGGAAGGAGCGAATGAGAATTTTCATCCAATCCAACAACTTTCTCCTATGGAGAATTATCAAGAATGGGGAATAAGTGCCCATGAAGAAAGTTGGGGAAACCACCGTTCCCAAAACCGAAGAAGAATACGATGCGCAGGATATCAAGAAAATAGAGAACAACGCCAAGGCGATCAACATTCTTTATTGTGCAGTAAACCCGGATGACTACCGGAAGATCTCTTGTTGTTCCTTCCGCCAAGGAAATGTGGGACAAGCTCGAAATCACATATGAAGGTACGAATCAAGTCCGAGAAGCTAAGATAGATTTTCTAACCCATGAATATGAATTATTTCGTATGAAGGAGAATGAGAAAATCGATGAGATGTTTGAACGATTCTCCAATATCATTAATGATCTCCATGCTCTCAAAAAGACGTACACGTACAAGGAGCTTGTGAGAAAAATCCTGCGAAGTCTCACACCGGAGTGGCGCTCCAAAGCCGATGCCATTCAAGAATCCATCGGCATCACCAACGTCACCATTGGCGGACTTAGAGGTAATCTCAAAACCTATGAGTCTACCATTCTGTATCCCTCTCTAGGTGAACAAAAGAAGAATGGGATTGCTCTCAAGGCATCTACAAGTCAAGAACGTACTATGGAAGACTCGAGTGACGAAGACGAGTTCGGGATCGTACTCAAGAAATTCCATAAGTTCATGAGCCAAGAGTATGAACGGAAAGGAAAGAAGCAAGGAAACCAACCCAAATGCTATGGGTGTGGAGAAGTTGGGCATATAAAACCAAAATGTCCAAACGCCAAGATCAAGAATAAAATGTTCAAGAAGCACCGAGCCTACATCTCATGGGGAGGTGATTCCGGCGACGAATCATCGGAAGGCGAAGAAAACGAAAGTGCCAACCTTTGTCTCATGGCACACGAGGAACCACCGGAAGAGGTATGTACCACTTCTAAAAATTCCTATACTTTTGATGATGTACAAGAAGCCTTTAATGAACTTTTTGATGAATATGTCAACGCTTCTAAAATTAACAAGGATTTGAAGAAACAACTTACTTCCATGGAGAAGGAAGTTGATAACCTATCAAAAGATAATGAAAAACTAAAAGAAGAAAATAAGTTTTTTCGGAAAAAGAAGCGCCGACAAACCGGAAAGTTCAAAATGTAGTTCTTGTATATCACTTAAGGATCAAGTTGCAAAACTTGAAGGAACTTTGAAGAAGTTTGGTGTTTCTCATAAAAACCTTAATGATGTTCTTGATAATTTGCAACTTACTAAACATGGCCTAGGATTTGAAAATGAACCTAATAATAAGGAAAAAGTTGAGCAACCACCTAGGAAACCTAAAGCTCAACTTAGGAATTATGAAAATCAAGAAAATAGACAACCTAGAACAATTAGGAACACTAGACTACCTAGAAAGAACACTAGGATGAACAATGATCAAGTTAGAAAACCTAGCAACTACTATCAACCTTGGAGAATGCATAATCCAAATGTTTTTTGTCATTATTGCAATAGGGTAGGTCATATAGCACCCGTGTGTTTTAGTAGGCATAGGCATTACACGTATAACAAAACACACACTCTGCGTGGAACTAACCGAATGAAATCCTTTCAAAAAGGATATTCGAACTCTAACCAATCCCCGCAGGAATCAACGCAAAAGAAACCATATTACTTCTTCTATTATGATGAAAAGAAGAAGATTCACATACCACTTCCGGAACCGACACAAATCAAACCGAGGTATAGACATTCGGTTCGAGTAGACTGGAACCCGCCAACCGCAAAAGGACGAGTTGGCCAAGGTAACACTTAAACACGCATGTTGGTACATGTGTGTGTGTGTGTTTGCGTACCATGTGTATGTGATTATGGGTGTGTGTGTTTATTAGTTTAAAAAGTCGTGTTACTAATCCTCAAGGACCCAAAAGATCAAACGGGTACCAAAATGTTTTCATTGCAGGTGTCAAAGTCAGGGGGAACAAAAGAAATCAATTTCTAGTTCCAGGACTAAGTGTAAATCGATTTACAGGCTTGTGATAATCGACTATCACAGCCTGCAGAAGTTTAGAGCACAGAAGCTGAAAGAGTAAACAATCGATTATCAACATTAAGATAATCGATTATCTGAGCCTGCAGAAGTTTAAGGCAACTCAGGCGCAAACTCCAACAATCGATTTTCCAAGTCATGATAATCGATTATATGGAGCTGCAGAACTTTATTTGAACTCAGGCGCAAAACAATCGATTCACTAAAACAAGGCAATCGACTATTGAAGTCTGCAGATCTTTCGGCGGAGAATCTGAAGACTCAGATAATCGATTTACACGTTTGGTAAATCGATTATCAACGGCGATTTTTTCAAAAATCTGACCATTACAGAGACGTTGGAGAGCAATTAATGTCTATTTGACCACCTCTACGAATCTCCAAAGCTTCTACTCTATAAATTGGTGATCTCTATTCATTTTATACTCACTCAAATCATATTTTCTCCATATATTCATCATAATCCATCATTCTTGCTCCTATTCTTCATTTTCTTTCAAAATTTCTGCAAAACATCTCCTTTTTGTCTTGCTCTCCCTCTCTCTCTTTGTTGAAATGGCAGGAGGTCAAAGAAAAAGATCCCGCACCGGCAAGAACGTGGCTTCTTCCTCGGCTCCTCCACCATCAACGCACAAATACCTTGACGAGTCGTTTCTTTGGTTTAACGACCGCGAAGAGACTACAAGGTTCTCGGAGAAGTTTGAGCATCGGGAAATTCTCCCTCCCCGATTCTCCACCGCCCGCTTCATTCATGACTCTATTCCACGTGAGGCACGGGTTATCCTTGAACGTGGAAACTTCCTCGATCTCCTCTACATCAAGAAGGTCAATTATCAACCTTTTCTTGTTCGAGCCTTCTATTCGAACTTGAAAAAGGATGAGGACGGATCGTTGATTTCAAACGTCAACGGGGTGGACATTTATTTGAATGAAGAGAACATTCAAATCCTCACCGGGCTTCGTCGGGACGGACAGGATCTCGGGCTCTACACCGGAGAAGAGGGGGCGCGGTTCAATGAAACCGCTCTCTTGGAGGAAGTGGGCATCCGTCACTTCGTACCCACTCCCCAACAGTGGCGCCCTACGATTTCTTCCATGAGTCCCGTGTATCGTTTCATCTTCTATGTGTTGACACGGATCCTCAAGCCCAGGAAGTTCAACCACACCAATCTCTCCCAAGAAGACACGAAGACGATCCATGCGATGATTCACAACGCCAATATCAATTGGTGTAAATTTGTGATGACTCACATGTTCACGGCCACCTCCGACAATCGGCCGCTCCCCTACGCCCTCCTTGTCATGGCAATTCTTGAAGAATACAACATCAAAACCGATGTTGGGCCAAAGATAAAGGGGACAAAGCATTGGGAGATTGATGAATCTTTTTTCCACTCGGGCACCGACGAGACTCCGTTTCGACAGCCTCGTCCACGCCGACAACCAAGAGCCACTGCCTCAGCCGCCACCACATCGACCAATCCTTCTCTCGCCGAGCAATAGGAAGCCTTAACCGCCACTCTCTCTCAGATTGACACCAACATCTCCAAAACGGCGCACAACGTCAATACCTTGAGCCGTGAACTTCGCGGGTATTTTGACTTTGTCAATTACCCGTACGCTCAAATGGTCCCTTACGTTCCTCCACCGAATTTCGGAGGTGAACAAAGTGGGACTCAAAACGTTGGAAGAGAAGACGATGTGGACGATGATGAAGAAGAAGAAGAAGAAGAAGATGATGATGATGATGATGGCGATGGTGATGAAGAAGAAGAAGAAGAAGACATTGATGAAGAACAAATTCTCAATGATCTTTCCCCGGATTTCTAGAGCTCTAGCTCTACTTTCTTCTCTTCCTTATTTTATAATCTTTTAATATGCTTTCGCTATGTACTCCGCTTTTTCCCTTAATTAATAAAAATCTTTATGTTTTTGTTGTTTACAATCTTTTTGTTAATGTCAAAAGGGGGAAGATAAGGGCTATGCATATTTTCAGGGGGAATTTTATTAAGGGGGAATTTTGTTTCAAAAAAGATCAAAACCCTATGCATATCCCCGTCTTGTTTGCCATTATCAAAAAGGGGGAAATTGTTGGAACACACTTTGTACGTTAAACTAAAGTCGTGTTCATTTCTGACAGGTTTTGATAATTGCCAAACCGCCGTGGATATGAAGAAGTTTCGTTGAATAACTCAAGGCGTGAAGAATGGCTTGGAACAAGACCTAAAAGACTCAAGGACAAGATCAAGAATTGAAGACTTAGTCGAGTCGGTCTTTTGTGATCAAAACCGACAATTTATTCAAGTCTCGGTTCTCAAAAAGTCAAAACAATTTTTACAAACCATAAAACATTTTTTTGTG